TAATTTTACCTTTCAACTTCCCCCCCCCCCCTGCCTTGGAGGTAGAGAGTTTGTTTCCGATAGACCCCCGGCTCGAGGAAAAACAGTTCAAAGCATTTTTGAAAAAGGAAATGACGGAAATGTAGAAGCCAATGAAAACCTAAAAAGTAAGAGAATATCTTACCTTCAGCTCAAATATCAATTCTGTAGATCTGCTGACATTAGGATTTTGTGATGGCACAGCATCCACAGTCTCTCCAGAATCATCCTCCAATGGTCCTACACATGAAGCTTCATCAAGGAGGACTTCATCATCCTCTGAAGCAGAATAACTGCTATTGGATCCAAGTAAAATGCATGAATCCAAATATTTTCCATTCTGAACCACAAAAGAAAAAGGAAATCAACTTAGCCATTCCATCGCCACCAAAACAATAGAGCTTCATAATTAATATTTGTATAATAAGTGAATCATGCATCTAGAGGACATACCTTGATCTTAACATTCCTAAATTGCAACTTCTTTCCACTTCCAACGTAAATTATAGCCTCTTCACTCGGACAAGAGAGATTTTTTCCTCTCCTATCTTGCAAAAACAAAATTCCACCTTTGCCATCATATATGAAAAGATCATACCTTTCATCATCAGCAACCAAAGGTCTCTGAGGAGAGAGTGAGAGTTCCGGAGAAGGCTGGTTAAAAACTGAATCATTAAGAATAACAGCATCTACAGTATGAGAACTTCCATCATCGTCATTTGCCAGCATACTTCGAACATTTGGTACAAAAAACTCCACAACAGCAAGCAAAAAATCAAGTGCAACTAGAAGTTGTGGCCTTTGAATGAAGAGAGAAAACGATGTCAAATTTTCATTGAATCTTGCATCGAGAATAACCATTGCAGGTACAAGTTTCATGTCCTCGTCATTAATAGTATTCAAGGTCATGCCAGCATATGCACCAGCATCAGCCACTGATTGTGAAGGATTATACCCAATTGTTTCCGGCTTCCGAATTGCCAACCTGAGTTCCTGTGCTATACCTTCACGATTATCCATCACGGTGAAATCTTCAAGTGTTGAAGACAAAAAGCCTTCTCCCACTGTATTGGATTTGTAGAGAAGCCACAGACCACTTACCTTGAAAACAAAAATAAGATTTGGATTCAGAATTTTGCATGCATAAAATTAAGGGGTCATTTGGTTGGGAACAAGTTATCCCAAACTTTGCAACCAAACAAGACACCAAAATTTTATCACTAGACTATTTTTTCATTCCAGGACTATTTATTTTTATCCCTCACAAAAAACGACCCCTAAAAGATAAATGAAAACAAAGATTAAACATAATTGGAATATAATTATTATCAATAATTGATGATGTGCAAAATTTATGATTTAAAAAGAGATAATTCAAGATAGATATTGAGTCATCACAGTATGTATACAACTATCCAAAGCATTGCACTTCAAGCATATTTGTTTGAGATCAATTCATCAATAAGTGAGAAAATACATTTTTCACAAAACTGCCTAACCAAAATGAAGGTGATATGCAACATCATGCCCAACTGTTTGTATTTAAGCATCTGCCTCTGCTCAAATTTACTTTTGTTCATCAGACAAAAACGGCAAACAAAGATCAAACATGCAATAAGACCAATTCCCTCACACTGTCTTCAATGAAAATGCATTTGAAAATTAGCAAAATTTGTTCCCTGATATGTTTCCATTATATCATCTAACTGACAACTATTGACCCAAGAAACATCAGAGAACAATGTTCTTTCATTTCACAGAATCAAAAATTTAACAAACTGGAATAGCAAGAAGATGGATGTACAATTTGAAAGGGTAATAATATTTTTTTTTAAAACCTAAATAAAGGAGCCTCAAACTGAGTTACCTGCATCGTTGCAAGCGATGCATCCCTTGTCAATCCATAGTGAAGGCCAAGCTCAACCAGATTAATAGCAATAGAGACCTTGGTTACAATCCACTTATCTTTATCTTTATCTTCAGCTTCAGATTTAACAACATCAGAATTTCTCGCTGATAAATGTTGTGCCTTTTCAGCTGAAGGTGATGAGGAGTCATCTATCAGAGGCGGCACAACATTAGGAGTCTCTGAAAGATTTTCCTGCGCGCATTCTGCAATTATCTCATACTCCTTGCTTGATAGAGCAGCTTTTAATTCTTCAATCTGAAATTTTCAGACAGCATGAAAATTGGGAAAATTTGAAAACAACAGTCAGATAACTTTTTGTATTAAAGTACCTTGATAGCAACTTCAACACTAGGAATTTGATGTAATAGGTCCCGCAGTGATCGCAGTATAACAATTGAAACTCCATTGACGTCTTGGATGATACTCTCACCCGATTCGGAGCCGGCACCCACATTTAAATTGATATCTTCGACCTAAAGGAAGGCATATTTGAGACATGTTCTCAGCTGAACTACGTATTGGAGCAACTTCAAGAAAGGGACAATTAAATAGTAGACTATTGTCGTATCTGCCTGTATTACCATTAAGCTTATAAAGCAAGCCCACCAAATTAACAATCTATGGCAATCTACAAATTCCCTATTTAAAGGATTCTCTTTGAACAAATCGCAAAACCTTTTCAAATGTTACAACATGCATTAATTGAGCTTCAAACGGGTTTTTTGATTGGTAATATGCAAATTCTGTTTCATGCAAAAGCATGTAAATCTGACGGCAAAAATGAGATTTTATTGAGTTAGACTACTTAATTCTCATTCTGTGTCTAATTTCCAAATCAGTCTAAGAAAATTGTGATATTAGCAACTAGCATCTCCATCAAAAACTTTACAAACAGAGATAAGCATAAGGATCTTACAGATATAGTTAATATTTCCCGGTGTACAGCATTCATATCACTTTTGCTACCACAAAACCACTGAAACTTGTTTTGGACAGTAATGTGAACAACATCAAGCTTCAAATAACTGCAAGAGGAAACTATGAGATCAGCTGTGATTATTTGTTATACAAATGTTACTAAAGGTCCTTTCATAAATGTTTAATCCACATATCACCGCGATACAGAGACATGGATATCAACATGAAGATACACCAAAAATTGGCAGCAAATTAAAATTTTAAATTAGACAACTGGTGATGGGTGCATATTTTAACAAAGTGACTCGAAAGCATCACCAGAGAATTGTAAACTCACTCAAGGCTATCAGTCCTTCGAGGCATTAATATTATCGGCTTTCTTAGAGAAAGATCCAACTTGAAAGCAGGCGATCCTTCAACCTCACTTCTTGTAAACCACTTCTCTGAGTTTGTAACTTGATCTGTTATTCTGACAACATCATTGGAACTGTTTGGAACAAGACCCATGAAGTAACTGACAATCTACAGGAAAATCAAAATATTATGACATTATTTATAACACAAGAATAGCCAAATAGAAAATTTAAAGCTTTACTACCTCTTGGATAAAGCGATTCAAATAAACAATCCTCACTTCGGACAGCTGGCCTATAAGGCTGTAATCATAACCCATATAGTCTTCATCATCAACATTGAATGAACAAAACTCCAGCTGCAATCCACAAACACAGTGACCAGTTAGTTTCGGGAAAATAAATAAGACACCTCCACAGAAGTGTATCAAATGGCAAACCAAAAGAATAGATACAAAATCAAGAATAAAGCAAATTTGTGGCAGAGAAGCCAACATTGTTCAAACAGCTTGTTGGTTTTTTTCTATTTTACTATATCTGTTGCATGAAATTATTCAACAAACAGTAAGTTTAATCTCCGCCAAAATAGTTCAATGAAAGAACCGGTAGATGCTCTACGATCAAAAGTCTGAACTGGCTAGAAGTCTGCACAAGTTAATGTCCACTCCTTTATTGATATTAGAAATAAGGGAGAGCGAGGCGGTTGGTGTAACTCAACAATTCCTGAATATTATTCGTGCTTCAAAGGTGTGTAAAAAGCACCAAAGGTATGTTCAGATTTAAACCACAAATTATAGTAAAGAAAGACGCATGATGAAGCCAAAAATTAAGCTATAAAAGATGCAAGAAAAAAAAAACTGACAATATAAATAAAAATTAGAAGTAGAGGAATATAAAAATCCATAATCAAATGAAATGAAGTAAAAACTAATGTTAATAGAGTTTAAAAACCTCTTAGATTTCCCATTTTGATGCAAAATATTCTTTTGATTCAAATTCAATGCCTAGTTTTTTTTCCTGCAGTAGATTTTTAATTTCCCAATCTTGAATTTGAATTTGAATTACTACATAGCCATCCATGAACTTAACAATTAATGGATCAATTTTCCATACATTTATTTATTCACAGAAAGAATTTCCGTACTATATTTGTTGTTTAGTGCCTTCCACCAGGTTTTTGTTGAAGTGCATGCCTCAGATCTTAGCACCTTCATCCGAACACCCAACTTGTGTTGTGCCTTACTTCCAAACTTCATTGCAAGTTGGCCACGCCTTTGTCAACACCCTTCAGTTCAATTTTATGTAAAATATTTCTCTAATAGTCCGTTCCACAAAGAACTGCACCTTTCTATATTTAAAAATAATCTAATATTATAATTGTCATTTACCTTAATGACATGCCTTTCTACCAAAGTAACATATTTAAGATCACAAGTTCCAAAAGTCGGTCTTTCTCTCTTAATCTCCAAGCCTAGGCAAACACCTATATAAATTGAAAGACAGGAAGTTACCAAGACTACCTCCTTTCCATGTTAGGAGCCACTTAGTTGTAACAGAAAACCTTCACTCATGCTTGTCAATTCCATCTCTCCACCAACTGTTCACTGTTACAACGTTAGCACCACCTACATTTGTACTAATACTGTTTTTTCATAGAAGGATGAAGCATGTAGCTATTGATTTCCATTTTGTTCGTGAACAAGTTCAACAAAAGACACTTGAGGCTCATCAGTCATCACCTTCACTTCATTGATCAAGTTGCTGCCGTCCTCACCAAGCCTCTTCAGCGTACAGCTTTTCTACACCATTTTCACAAGCTGAGGCTTGCTCCAGTCACCCCCCACTTGCGGGGGCATATTAACAGATAATACATGTTATACCCTCAGTTTAGGAGCTTGTTATTAGCTTCCTATTTTTTTCAGCTATCTGATGGTTCAATAATACATGGTTAGTCATTTGTATTATTTAGGATTTCCGATAGTTTCCTGTATTCTAGGTTTTCTGCTGCTTTGTACCTTATCAGATTAGTATTTTCAGTTTTGTATCTGCTCTATATAAAGAGCATGTTATACGTGAATACAATCATCTTTTTCTTTTACATCCAAACCTTTATAACACCATGACCGACCTTTGAGGCAGTTGAGCATTATACCACTTGAATGTGTTAAATTTGGAGACTTTAAGAATTTAATCTAAGTGTCGAACATTTGTTAATTAAGTTAGTATGGTCATGATACGTTGTTAATATACATGAGTTTGTGTATGTAGATTAAGGTTGTTGAGTATCATTGGGGCGGCTGACACAACTTTCAACTTAACTAGAGCGACTTTGAGGCATGTCGAGCTATAAGCTTCTTGTGTGTTTTCAAATCAACTCATGCTTCGAAAATAACAATTTAAAATGAGATTCCCTGCATGTGCGAAACAAGTTTGCATGGTTTGCTCCATGATTAGACTTAAATGATGAAAATGTCCAAGTCTTGAACTTCATAAAAGTTTCTAATGCTTTTATGCAAATCTTGTGCTATGGTGCGACACACCCAATTATTTAAATGCCTACCTTGATGTGTTTGGTTTAAATCATTCTTGGCATGCTTTTGTTGATGATATTATATTTCATTTTCATCTATGAAAAGAAATTGACCAGCTGATCAAGAAAAGGAGAGATTACTGTGGCTACTGAAAGCTTCATATACACAACTCAAAAATCCCTATCCCTAATTGGAGAGATTATTGTGTCCCACCTCAGAAAATGAAACCTTCTCCCCAACAAAGTAACATTTAACAAGAACGGTGACAAAATAACCAAAAGTAATGAAAGAATTCCACTCAATGTGCCCAATTATTTTTAAAAAAATTGGTGGTGTCAGGGCATGCTTCTGCACAGCTCAACTATTCCTTCAGGTACATGTTATCTCCCGCCAAACCAGATACTGGGTAACTCTGCCTACCAGGGATTTAGACAGATGGAAAAAAAATCACCTAGTGTTGCTGTTTTTGTCTCTACTGGAATAAGAATCTAGGTCTCCAAGGATCGCATCCACTCATTCACTAGGCCACACCCTGAGTGAAAGGATTTTTAAATTTTTCTTTTAAATAAAGGTTGCTAAAGTATCAAACCAGAAAAGTGCACACCAACTATTTTGATCATACCTGCGGGAGTAACTAGGCAAATTGGATGTTAGAACTTCATTACTACTATAGGCATAGCCAATAAAGACAGCAGTCACGACAACAGCAATCAATGATAGTAACGGCAGCAATAGCTAGAAAAACCACCACACCAGCTATACAATGAATTACCTCTACAAAAGAACTACCACCAGGATTCCTCATATCACATGCCCAGAAATAAAGGTGACTACTAGGAAGGCTGTCATCACTAATTCTCAGATTTCCAAGAGATGCCTTTATTGTAAAAGAAGATGGAAACACCTGGCCAAGGAGAAAACAAGATTGAAAATTCACACTCACATGATAAATATCACAATGGAAAAAATCAAAATTGATAGAAACAACAGACCTTGATATCAGTAAGAAAATTGTCCTGAGACAAGGTAGCGAGCTTAGATCCACCCTCTTTCATCAGCAAAATCTGGGCACGAGCCATGTTCAATGTCAGACCAAATATAATCCTAGACTTCCCCTTCCCAAGCAAACCCTTCACTGCAGGCACATCCATTGTTTCCTCAGAATCAACCACATTTTCCTTGGGATAATCATGCTGTGTAATGGCTGATGAAGAAGTGTCACTGAAAGACTCAGGGATTTCTTCCCCCACATTAATGGCATTTACAAATTCCATTACTGCCAGTATTGTTGGTCTACGACAGAAAAAAGACAAGGTAGCAAGTGTGACAACTACCTGTAATAACCAACAAGCAATTAAATTAGAAATCGTTAAGTGTAATTAAGCAGACAGATTTAGTCACATAAGAAATACAGGCTGACCTTTGTATCAGTGCTAGTATAGCGAGGTGACTTCCGGTCATAAATAGCCACTTGAGCCGTCACAAAACTATCTAATGTATCATTCATTATTACAGGATTAGTTCCACTATCGTTAAAATCGATAGGCAGAAGACCAGCAAAACGATTAAAACTAGGAGCCTTTGACATGGTCTTTTCTGAAGGTAAAGAGTTTCCCGATGAATAAGGACTATCAACCAGGTCATTTAAATTTTCAGATGCCTCATAGAACTCCTCTTCTCCTTCATATTGACTAGATTCATTGCATTGGGTCTCAACATCATTTAAAAGGGGGGGTGCAGTAATATTTCTGATGAAGGATCGTGCTAGATAGCAAGAGCCAGACATCCCTGTCTGGCAAACCAAATCTTCTATCTCAAGAGCTTTCAGGAGAGTCCCTATAAAAATATCATTACCTCTAATTGAAAGTTCAACCTGTGCAAGACATTAAATTTAAACCATTTAAGCAAAAGAATAGGGATAAAAAGAAAACCTTAGACTTGCAGTAGTCTTACCCGACCACCTGTTGCTCGAAATTCAAATAAGCCTCTTTCCTTAGCTAGAAGTGCCTTAGTAAAACTCTGATCATGCTAGAGAAAGTGGAAAGCACATTATACTGTCAGTGTGGTCATTTATTTTACAAGAAAAAATGTTCTTGATAGCTTTCACCCATACTCACCTCATGACTATAATTGAAGGACATCTTTAACTCATCAAGAACACCGGTCAAATACAGACTCTCCATTTGTGAGAGATCAATTATATCATTGCCTGCATGATCAGCTTCATAATCTTCAGACTCGGATGATGATTCAGATAAACCAGTTATAGGAGCTGATCCCTGCACGAAACCTCACTTTTGAGAACATTCCCATCACAACATGTTAGGACTTGATGAATATATACTCCTGTTCCCCTCTACAACACCCAACCCCACAAAGGGGAGAAAGAGTACCATCATGATAGCAACCATGCTAGACACTCCATACAGGCTCCTAAAATTCTGAAGACTTAATTTGTCAAATCCTTGGAATTTTTTTATTTTTTTTAAATAGACAGTATTGTCCTAGTTCTTAATCACACATCAAAAACCTATTTTTCCATTGCTTTTAATTGATCCCATTTACTTATAGTTAGGATCTCGATCTATTAACAACATCCAGAGGAAAGAAATTAGAAGAGAGACAGACAGACAGACAGAGACAGAGAGACTCCTGCAAGTTTCAAGGCATCCAACAGGTTTATCACACTTAAGCCTCCAAGATTGAATTCTGCTGACCACTCTTACCACATTTTCACCTTTATACCAAACTATTAATAGCATTTCAATTCTTATTTCACCATAGACACCCACATAAGGATGTTATCCGACTTAAGAAATTTGAACTACAATTTTATGCCTCTAACCATTGGGATGTCAATAAGTAATTTATTCCAAATCATCATAAGAGAAAGAGCACGAAGGTCTACCGATGCCCGATAGATGGCCCCCTGCAAGTGACTCTGCCATGTTTTCTTTAAATCTTCAGAGTCACAACGTAATATTAATGCATTTGCATCTTCCACAATCTACATGTGACAATAAGGTAAGCAAGGTCAGAAACCGGAAACTGCATGACCAGAAAAAGACAAAGATAGAGAAGTACGTTGTTGGATCGTTCAGCACTGTAGACAGCCAACACATATTGTTCATTGCCAACATCATTTGGAGGAACTTGATATAGTTGCTTCCCTCGTAAACTGCAATAAGGCAGTACAACAATGAAGCTAAGGATACATTGCACAGATAAAAGATGGAGAAGACTGACCAATAAGAATTACAATCAGAAAACCTAGATAGGCTTCCCAAGAAGACCACCAAAAATCTTGGCATTGTCTATTTTATTTCTCTTTTTTTCCATTAATTATCAAATATAAATTGGAAACAGCTTCTCTACCTTCACAAGGTACGGATAAGGAATGTACACACCACCCTCCCCAAACCCCACTTGTGGAATACACTGGGTATGTTGTTCTTGTTGCATCAATAAAAAGGAGTTATTGTTTATAAAAATTCCGAAAAATCCTCCATTGCCCTAGACACCGTCCTACACTGCACTCCTTCCTCCGGAAACCTTATCATATTAAGTATCCACCTAACACCCATGAGATCTTCAACTCCATACAGTTGGTCATGTCTATCCAAAATTTAAAAAAAAAAATGATGTTGACCAGCCTTACGTAGTTGCTTTTGTGGTGTTTTGTTGTAACTTGATTGATTAGGTGATGCCAAACATGCACGAAAGTCTTTACCTGATATACTGCTTGTAAGATCTAGAGCCAGGATTTTCCAGTATATAAAGGAAGGATCCAACAATACATAGGTATCTACGCTTCCATATAGCCTCCCTACCACCAACACCCTACAGAATAAAAGAAATCATAATCATCAGAAATGTACAACTAACTACGGCACATATTAGTATGCAAGAAAATATGGATATGTTGATCCGAAAGCAACCTTCCAGGTAAGAAGACACAACCACCCCTCAAAATCAGACTGTGTCCAAGGCCGATAAACATCTGAATCATTTATTTCCTCTGCTTCAAATATCTTTGCAACTTGCATCAACCGATGATACCGAGCAGGAGAAAAATGGAATCCTAAAGAAGGAAGACGCACTGCAAGTCTCATCGAAGGAAAGGCAGGATTCTCTAGTCGGATCTGGAAAATTTTGAATATGAAAAGCATTGTACACAAAGTAGAAGCTGTGAAAACATACTAAGGTATATTATGTGAATGTAACAGCATGTTCAGAAGAAATGTGCAATCACCTGTTGCAGCTTTAGAACCACAGCACACTTGTCAATAACAGGCAAAAAAGTAACAAAAGTGGATCTAGATGGACCAACTCCATTTGTTGGAGTTTGACTCCAATAATAATCACCATCAACCAGGAAAGCAGAAACATCGCTCAAGACCATATCAAACTGAACATACATATTCATCTCTTCAGGTAAAACAATCTCAGAATCATCCTGCACACATTGCATAAACACAGCACATTAGCCAACTTAGGGATATCTAGTCCTATAGTATAGACGATCCTAAGATATACCTTTGTAGAAATCACCAAATTTCCCAAGTCAAGAAGCAGCTTAGTTGAGTGAGTGCTATCTGGACAGAAATCTGTAGGAATTGTAATTTTTGGAGCTGCAATTTTCAAATCTAAGAAAAACCTGGCAGAAAGCAGATATCAATATTAATCTTCAGTGGATATCAATATTAATCTTCAGGAAGAGTGTAAGCAATGCAGGAATGGAGTGGTTGACTGGGTTGTTTAATGTCATTTTTAGGACGTCTAGCATGCCTGAAGAATGGAGGTGGAGTACAATGATCCCATTGTACAAGAACAAAGGGGATATTAATAATTGTAGCAACTACAGGGGTATCAAGTTGCTAAGCCACACTAAGAAAGTTTGGGAGAGGGTGGTGGAGATTAGGGTGAGGATGGGTGAATATACTAACGAGAACCAATATGAACTTATGCCAGGGGTTCAACCACAGAAGTCATTCATCTCGTAAGGAGATTGGTGGAGCAGTATAGGGAGAAGAAGCGCGAAGTCCCAAGAGGGATTCTTTGGAGATGTTAAGAGGCTAAAAGGGGTCGTAACTTACATTAGGGTGAATGAGGACATGTACGATGAAGCCAAAACATGGGCGAGGATAGTAGGAGGGGACTCGAAGCACTTCTAATCGTGAAAGGGTTGCACCAGGGATCGGCTTTTAGCATGTTCTTTTTTGCCTTGGAGATAGATGAAGATGAATTACTGTGGCATATGCTATTTGTGGATGACATAGTATTGATGGACGGGACGCGCAACGGAGTTAACGATCAGTTGGAGGTTTGAAGACAGACCCGAGAGTCTAAAGAGTTCAGTTTGAGCAAGACTGACACAGAGTATTTAGAGTGCAAGTTCAATAACGTAACTCACGAGGCGGATGTCGAAGTGAGGATGGGTACTCAGGTTATCTCTGGAAGAGGTAGTTTCAAGTATCTTGGGTATGTAATCTAAGATAATGGTGAGATCAATAAGGCTGTTACACATCGTATTGGAGTGGTGGATGAAATGGATGTTTGCATCCGGTGTATTGTGTGATAAGAATGTGTCACCAAGACTTAAAGGTAGGTTCTATGAATTGTGGTTAAACCAGCTATGTTGTATGAGGCGTAGAGTTGACTGGTCAATAGATCGCACGTCCAAAATATGAAAGCAAAATATGAAAGTAGCAAAAATGAAAATGTTGCAATTGATATGTGGGCATACTAGGAGAAATGGGTTATGAGTGAGGATTTTTTAGATAAGGTGGGAGTGGCCCCTACGGTGGACAAGATAAGGAAGGCGAGACTGAGATTGTTAAACATGTAAAAAGAAGATGCTCATATACCCCAGTAACCCCAATAAGGAGGTGTGAGAGGTTGGATATGATGAGCTTAAAGGAAGGTAGAGGTAGATCAAAGAAGTATTGGGGAAAGGTAATTAGACAGGATATGGCACACCTACAGCTTACCGAGGATATGACCCTAGATAAGAGGATATAGAGGTCGAGAATTAAGGTAGAAAGTTAGTAGATAGTTGTGTGTTGTCTAGTTATTATTATTATTATTATTATTATTATTATTATTATTATTATTATTATTATTATTATTATTATTATTATTATTATTATTATTATTATTATTATTATTATTATTATTATTATTATTATTATTATTATTATTATTATTATTATTATTATTATTATTATTATTATTATTATTATTATTATTATTATTATTATTATTATTATTATTATTATTATTATTATTATTATTATTATTATTATTATTATTATTATTATTATTATTATTATTATTATTATTATTATTATTATTATTATTATTATTATTATTATTATTATTATTATTATTATTATTATTATTATTATTATTATTATTATTATTATTATTATTATTATTATTATTATTATTATTATTATTATTATTATTATTATTATTATTATTATTATTATTATTATTATTATTATTATTATTATTATTATTATTATTATTATTATTATTATTATTATTATTATTATTCCTATCTTATTATTTGATTTTTTAATTACCCGTTGTTTTTTACATTTTGCTTAGGCTATCATATTATTTGTTATTTCTACTGTTCTTTTCTCCATTATTTTCAGCATGACTTCTTCACTGTTGTATTTCTTTCTCATATTATTTTTATATGCGGTTACTTGGGCTAGGGTCCTTTGGAAACAACCACTCTACCTTCGCAAAGCAACAAAAAGTAGGGGTAAGGTTGTGTACACACTATCCTCCTCGACCCACTTGTGGGACTACACCGGGTATGTTGTTGTTGTCATAGTGGATGGTGTAAAAGAATACAACATGTCAATGTCTACTGGTACTAGATTTATTTGGGCCATTCAAGGATTGACAATGTTACAACATTAAACTGCAAAAGATAGATAAACCTGACAGAGTTATAGCCAGACATGCCTAGAATCCTAGGTCACAGAACCTCAACACTAGATCCCTGTTCACCACACCATCCCTCCCCAAAACCACCTACACTTTACATCAGGCACATTTATAGGGAGAATTTTTTTTCCTTTTCTTTGTGAGGTTGTCTACTTATTGGTATACTCCTTGTATACGGTTTTCATGCCCTTCACTAATGAAATGTTATTACTTTATCAATAAAAAAAACATCTAACAATTTTTCTCTCTTTTTTGACAAAGGTAACAAGTAACAATATTTCTTTTTAACTTCTCAAATCACTGTGAGGACAAGTAAACTCAACAATATCAAGATACAAGCTGAACAAATAGAAGAAGTATCCAACCTAGATTGATCCTTCAGAGCTCTGTTTACTTGTTCTTGTGCAGTTCGTTTGACTTCATCAATTGTCATCTGACAATAAGGCAATTACATCATCTACCAATACATTTCAAATGATAAATTGGGAATACATATATAAGCCAATAATCTCTTATATGTGTTCAATAATTCAACATTTTCAAGACATTAATATCCATATACTAGGTTATGGTGAGAAACAACCTACCAAACAAGTAGAAACTGCACAAGTTGATAAAAAAGGTGATACATGAAACGTCTTAAAAGTAATAGTCTCCCTATCCCAAAATGTTTACCTTTCCTTTTTTGGGTTGTTTCTAACTATTTCCAATGGAAGTTTCAATTCTATTTCGATACCACAATGATTCAAAGGCCTCTCTTTTACCTTTCTCAATACGAAATTATTCTCAGCTTTTTACTGATATTGATTGAATCAAACCAACTTGTGCGCACCTCAATATCTTCCACCAGCACAGGTCATATCGATATCTCTACCTACTACCAAGATTTAGGCAAATGTGAAGGATTGTCTAGGTTCTTTCCTTTGCAGGATATGAAACCTGGTCTCCCATAGTTTTTCTCCAGCTTCAACCGTTAAGCCACACCAATAGATGCTAATATTCATCCTATTCTACTAATATAATTATAACATGTTATCGAGATGGCATGCTTTCCTATCCCTAGAGGGGTAGAGAGGAAGATAGAAAAATTAAGAAGGGATTTTCTGTGGAATGGTTGTGAAGAGAAAAAGAACAAATATAAGCTCTGGTCCAAAAGGTAATTTTCAAAAAAAAAAAAGACTTTCTATGGAATGGTTGTGAAGAGAAGAAGAACAAAAATAGGCTCTGGTCAGGTAATTTTCAAAAGAAAAAGAAGAAAAACAAATCTTTTGCGATGGGATTCTCTAATTTGTAGCAAGAAGAACCATGGTGGCCTTGAATCAAAAGACCGAGTATTCATAACAATAGTTTGTAACAAAAGTGGCTATGGAGGTTCATGACAGAGGACAGATCTTTGGGGAGAAGATTCATCACACAAAAATATGGTTTTATGAACAGGTGGACAACTGAAGAAGTGAAAAGTACATATGGATGTAGTCTTTGGAAGACCATTAGAAATATGTGGCCCAAGTTCTGGACCAATATTATAATCAAAGTGGGCGATGGTGTTAAAGCTTCCTCGGGATAATTAATGGATTGATCAGAATAATTTGAAAAACTTTTTTCCAGATCTCTATATTTGAGTCTTCAAAAGCAGGCAACTGTAGGGCAAACCTGGATGGAGAATGGATGGGAGCTGAATTTCAGAAGGGCTTTAAATGATTGGGAAGTGGATAGAGCCATTATATTGCTTCAGTATTTGAATTCATTCAAAGGCATTATTGATGTAACGGACAAACCAGTGTGGAGCCATTCCAGCAAAGGATCCTTCTTAGTTAAATCAGTCTACTGGAAGATGAACACGAGAAATTGTGTGACAATGGAATGGCCCTGGAAATTCATCGGGAAGATTAAAATTCCTACCAGAATAGCGTGTTTTGTGCTGTTGGAAGTTAGAAGGCTTGTTTAACTCAGGAGAGACTACAAAGAAGAAGTCTTCAAATCTGCTCAACATATCTGTTGTGTGGACAGGAACCTGAAAACAATGAGCATTTTTTCCTGCATTGTGAGACAGCTGAAAATCTGTGGCATATGTTCTTTGGTATGCTGGGGTGAACTGGGGAATGCCAAAAACAACCCTGGAACTTTTAAAGAACTGGAAGAGTATTGGAAGAAGAGGGGCAGAGAATCCCAAGCATGTATTTGGGTGGACAGTCTGGAAAGAAAGAAACCTCAGACATTTTGAGAACAAAAGCAACCACATCTACAAAATTAAGATGAATTGCCTCAATCTTTTTTTATTTTTGGTGTAAGCAGGATCTAAAGAGGGAGATAGCAGTTTTAGTAGATTTCTTTGACAATTTATAAGTTAGCATTTGTACATAGGATCCCCTATAATCCTATTTTGTGAATGTAACCTTTTCCCGTAGAACTTACTTGATGGTGCTGAGCCATTTTGGATATAAATACAATTACCCTTTTCCAAAGAAAGTTATCGAGAGATTTAAGATATTCAACAATTGATACTTTTGATCTCTCTCAAGAACGCTCATGTGCAGAAGATAAAGGTAGCAAAGATGAGGATGCTTAAATGGATGTCGGCATACTAGGAGAGATAAGATTAGGGACGAAGCTATACATGACAAATCATGATGTCATGTAGAGTCACTTTGAGAAAGTACATAATGAAATGTTTGGAGGACGTCTTATGTTCGATCACAGATAGGAAATGAAACGAGAATCAAGTCCTCGACACAAAAGTGGTGTAAAATTCCATTGGGTGATGTGCTCCCGGTAGTCTACACTATATCATACTGAAGTATAAAAAAACAGTTCCAAGTATAAGTTACTAGGTGTTTGCATACTACATTTCTAAAAAAATTATCTCTAAAAGTCATTCATATAGTTCTATTACTGATTTCACTTTGATATCTACTGTCTATTGTGTAGTGATGCATCTCCAAAAATAGCGTCCATGGGTGATCAGTGACCTGTCTTAATGTCTCGGTATTTGTACCTACACTAAAGAATCAACTAAGAGTGGAGAAAGTGCCCAGCCTGGGGTTCACCTTTGGGCTAAAATCAAACCTCAAATGAGCATCAACAATATGGTCCGGTGCGTGTCGAGTCCTCCAAAAGTTGCGCAATTTTGGAGGATCTGACACAGGCGTAGAAGCATTTTGGAGGGTCCATGCAAATGGTTGTGACATTGTTACAGATTCATTAGTTGTCCAAATATATAGGACTACGACAGAAGCAATTGGTCTCCCTGATTGGTCTCAGCCTCTCAGGTCATGATTGAAGGAATGACTATCCCACAAAACAATGGTACCTGCAGGATAGTTCCTTAATACCAAGGATGAAACTCCACAAGAAGACAGATTGTCTCAAAGCTAGGCTAGTAATCAATAGATATACTTAAGTTTCTGGTTTTTGTGATACTTTTCCTCTGTGTCTTGTATTTGTTCGCCTCCTTAATCTCCATAACAACCATGTTTCACTGGCCTCTTTTCAAACTTGATGACAAAGTCTACATAGAGCAAACATGAGGATTTGTTACTTCTGGGAGATGTTGATGACGAAGCTTACATATACCATTAGGATTTGTTACTCCTGGGATATGTCAACTACATCGATCTTTATGGTCTCAAGTTATCACCACGGGCATTGTCTGACCATTTAGTACGATAGTCCAAAAATATGGCATGTCTGAAGAGAAGCTGATCATTCAATGCTTCATAGACATTGTCTGAAACACGCATCTTTTTGGTTGCCTATGTTGAGGATATACCATATAACAGGTGATCTACATGAAGGCATTGCTCAGGTGTTAAGGCTGTAAATATAGAAAAAAACTTCATACTGAACAGACAATTCTCAATACTTGTAATCGTGTAATTAGAAAATCTTAAGGGATACACTTGTCGTCTTCCTTTTTTTAATTTGTAGACACCATTGAGTCCAAAATGACTTGAAGAACTAATCAAGCAAATCACTCTCAAAAAGATTTATCAGCAACCAAGATCCAACTGCACATTAGCAAGAATCATAATCAAGACTTGCCATATGATTTGGGTTGGTAGTAATGGAATGCTTTCATTATCTAAAATAAAGAACAACTCCCAGCAAAAGACGGTCCCCTCACCCGTGTTCACCCAAAATTAGACCATGTATAAAATTCCCCGTCCAAGTCGGTTGAATTCAACAGCAAATAATGTTAAGAAACAAGTGATCGACCGTCCCAACCACCAGCCAAAGGCAGCCAATAGCATCAAACAATGTCCTGAAGAGAGTTGTTCACACCCTTGCCAATTTTGCCACGTGTTTGCACAGTTATACCTGGATCAAGCCATCTACCACTCGTGCAATCCACTGGTGCTTTCTGTGTGCATTGCAATGTCCATCCTCCACACCCTGTGTGCATGCTAATGGTCTGCCACACTCACATCATTTACCCAACTACTTCAAGTATAGATGTCACCTTTTAGCACACACCGCCAAAGTTTTACCTCTAAGCACATTACCAATCTGTGTATTCTCAGAAGCATGAGAACAGCAAGTTCCATGGAAATGAGTTACGTGCAATCACATGATCCATTTGGTTACAACAACCATACTTTCAGTTTCAGGGGAAAATAGAACAAGAACCTTTTCAAGCTTCTCATTGGGATTACTTTCAAACATATACAACGCCCATAATGTCAATGTGCCACAGGGCACCTCCATTAAAATTGTTTTGATAAAAGAAGAAGAGCTAACAATAAAGAAGCAACTTCTTACTGGTTCACCCCCATTCATTGCCAAGAACAACAAAATCAAGCAAATGAAGTGGAGCGCACTAGAAAAATCTTGTTCTCAGGTACTTGCTCATTCACTCCCCTAAGCAACAAATGAGCATGTAATGCTCGAGACAACTTCCGTTAAGAAGCAAATTTTCCTTTTTCTGGCAAGGGTTTAAGAAGCAAATGTTTTATGACCATGAAATATGCTGCGATCTAAACCACAATTCAATGACCAGTGAGCAGAACAGATGGAAAAGGAAAAGTAAAAATGTCAAAATTGGGATCTGGAACTAAGAAAATTATGACAAGCTAAAGCTAACCTGTACTGCAGCAGCTGTTTCCAGAGCTATGGTCTGACTCACAGCAGCATTACTTTCAAAAAAGTTGATAATTTGGTCAATCGAATCCTTCAGATACTACGGAAAAAAAATTTGATCAGATGAAACGCTCAACTGTTGTAACTGGTGAAATAAAATAAAACCTTCAGCTTACTGTCACATAACACGGAGAAGCTTTAGCCGCCAAACTCCAGTCAATGTTGGAATCGAAAGGCTTGTAGCAAAATGCAGCAACCAAGGAATCATTGACAGTTGCACTCTGAGGAAAAAATGTATTACCATAAATGAAGCTGTCTAACTTAAACCCCCGCCCCCACCCTACTCAGCCCAAAAAAAAGAGAGAGAATAGAAGATCTACTTCAACATTTCGCAAGCTTTCAGATATCAACTTTTCACTGTACGGAATCTTTAAAGAGAAAAGAGCGAATTGTATATCCCCAATTCCCCAACCTCTCTATAACAGTTAAAGCTCGGGCTTAAACGAAGAAAGGCATAAATGGGGGGGGAGGATACAAATGTGTATATGTAGTCCAACACTAATAATTATAAACATGAACGACAAATATAAAGAAATTTTAAAAAATTACGATAAAGTGAAATGTCAATTTTTTGGTGTCGCCTTTTCAAGACTATGCTCATTGGCAAGGAAAGGTATGTCATAGAGCCTTGATGACGACACATAAACGCCCGCTAAGTGAAGCAAAACGCTCAACATGATTTGTGCCTCGCTTCAGAGCTTAAGCAGACTTAAAGCGCGCCTTTGACAACATTGCTCTAAATTGAATGTGAAGATTCTTACCTCAGCAAGAAGGCCATTTGGAGACCATAACTGATATGATCCTAGTTTTACATCAAAAACCTTTGCTTCTGAATAAAGCTTTATATAACAATCAAGGTTATCACATGACAAATCAGCAAGGCAGCTGTTAGTATCACTAAGCTTTGAGGCATTGTGCTTCATGTGAACCTCCAAGGTGGTATGTGGCACATCTCTCCTGTCATGAGTAGCCAACAGTGGTTCTTCTTCACCTTCTTTATACCCAATTATATTATTTAACCTCTCCCAGTCGTCCTCAGTAAACTCTGCTTGCTCACTTTCATCGTCAACTGATTGGCTGGACCTGAGAAATTGGTCAACCACATAAGACTACAACTAAGAAAAAAGAAAGAAAAGCACTTCACAGTACAGAAACTAAGGGGTTACAGAGATCCAGTATTAACCAGCCAAAAGACCACCAAGATTTCTTTGACTTTTGTTTTTTTAGGTAAGAATCCGACTCTACTGACTTCTGCACAAATTTGTGTGCCAGCATCCTGTTGAAAAGTTAAAAATAAAGGTCAGCCTCTAATACAAAAATCCGTCTAAATTCTAAATCATCGGCAGGACATCTTCTGCGCATAAACATCATTGTAGGTAGGGTTGTCATGGTTCTTCATGGCATTAACCATTATTTAACTAATAAAACACAAGTAAAACCTTCTGGAACACTCTTAAACCTAGGAACTGCTTTACAAAACACTTGACATATCATGAAGGAATAAAATAACTCAATCAATAAGTTTCTGTTCAATCAAATGAACAAATCAAGCTAAAGATACATGAAAGAAAAATGATAGGGTATACTTTAGGAGAATGCACCTTAGACCTAAATCAACCATAAAGCTAGCTCAAGTAGTGAGGTTTGTTGAATATCGAAGGAACCTACATGTTCTACCTCCATGAGATAGTGCTAAGGTCTGCGTACATTCTACCATCCCCAGACCCCACTTAGGGGGAATTCACTGTATGTTGTTGTTGTTGAAGGAACCTACACGTGGGATTCAAACTTCATCCCCCCCCCCCTTTGCCTGGCTAAACATCGAGAACGTGAAGTAACATAAAATGGGTGGTCCAACATCATGAACGGGTCCAACTCTAATACCATCCGAAAAATCTGAATATCCTATCCAAAGCTTGAATATACTACGAGTGTAGTAGTCTAAAACCTTCATAAACTTCCAAGTAAATACCCTCCCTCATGTGTAACTGAACTTTTTGAAGTCCACACATGAACATTAATCTGGTGCAAGAATGGGCTTACCAAAGGTTGGTTCTAGTACCATATTAAAAAAATTAATATTTAACCTAACACAACCCCAATAGCTAGCTGAAGCAGTTACTTGGTCTAAAATTATATATGGAAACTACAACCTTAACCAAAGTGGTATCTAACTGGCATGATCACAAAAGAGCAAGCTGAGGCATTATGACTGACATTTGAGAATTCTGATTAATTGATAAGCTCTATCTACAACATCCAATGAACCTTGGTTTCTGTGTGTCCTTTTTTCCCTCTCTTTCTTTTGACACCCTGAGAACTTATTCAGACTCATTCAGAGAGAGAGAGAGAGAGAGAGAATAACGGGGAAGGAGGTAGATAACTCAGATTTCACCTGAAAAATTGACTAAAGATATACGCTCACCAAAACTGTATCCAATGATGTAGTCAGGATTAATAGAAAGATACTTAATCCCACAATGTAGCACACTGACATATAGCCTTTGAATTGATGTAGTTCATTAGCCAAACTTCATGAAATAATATTTTTTTTAAACTTGCAGCACAAATTACCTCCATTGAAGAATGATTTCAGCATCAAGTGTGCGATCCAGTTCTTCTAAATCTTTATTATCATCTATTACCATCCGATCAGGCTCGGATTTCAGCAATGAAGCATACAAAGAGATATATTTCTTCCTCAACCTTGTATACCGCAGGACCTGCTCCCATGACAACTTCCCACTACAAACAACAATTGCATAATTAATTAAAGACTAAGAACCAAATCTTCTCCACATCCACTACTAGTGTATAAGTGTGGATAACCACACAGGTGATGGTCAACATGCCTGCATCACCTGTGTGGTTCCACACCTACATACATATATATTTCTCTTTTTTTTCTTCTGTTTTAATTTGTTCGTCTTACTTTTTTGTTTTTTTATATATTTAAAAATTGCGTAAAAAAAAACTATAAAACATGATAATTGATAACTTAAAATATTTTTTAAAAAATAACATATAAAAAATTCGATTGATAATTAATCTATCTGTGTCACACAAAATGGGACAAAAGAAGTAACATGTATTATTTAATTTGAAAACTACATAAAAAGTATTGTATATCTCAATAATTAACAACATTTGATCGACACTTGAAATTTTATTTGTGCTACATATATTGGGACAAGGGAAGTAACATATATTACTTAAAAATTACGTAAAAAGTACTATAAATTACAATAATTAACAATTTAAAATATTTAAAAATCATATTAAAATTTAATTGACTCTCTAAATTTTATCTATGTCCCATAAAGCGAGACAAAAAAAAATAACAGATATCGGGTCCGGCTAGCACGGGCACTTGTGTCTAGTGTGTATATATAAATCTACATGACTTATATAAGGGAAATAAGAGGGAATGACATTACATCTTCTAAAAGTTAACACCTTTTTTCCTAAAAGCCCTATAAATTTCGCTCAATAGAAACAAAATAGAGAAAATATGATAAATGTTTAGATTATGGGGACAAGTAGAAACATGTTGACTACTCTTTCGTCACCTTTGTTTAGGCCTATTAAATTGGTCTTTAGCCTTCTAACCAGAGTGTTGTGAGAATATCAAAATGTAAGAGATAATCCACAGTTTGGCGAGTCTCTTAATTTTTGAAGAAACTAGTTAGATACCTGGCCTTCTTTATCTGAACAGATAAAGCTTGATAAGCATACTTCCACCAAGACCTTGGATCAGATTTCACCGAAACATGTGGACGAAGATGAGCATAGTTCAACCGTTGATTGAAGGCAGCAAAGTTCTCCGCTAACTTTAATAAATCCCTATAGCCATTCTGCACAACATACCGAAGTAAGTAAAAAAGCCAATACAAGCTAGAATTAATTCCGCATTGGATAAGAAATAAAAAATAGAGAAAAAAAGTTAGCAAGACTAGCCTTTGACAAACAAAGAGTCACATCGTCCAGAGCCACGACTGCCTTTTGAAGAGGGTCCAAATTATCACGTGAAGGATTAGGGCGCTGTTTCAAGAACTTAGCGTTCCCAGTCACTGGTTGCAAAATGTAAGAATGCTCTTTGATGTGATCAGCAGGTTTACCATTAGCCGTTCCATATCTGAAAATCTGAGGAATTGAACTAGGTTTAGGAATAAGAACAGATCAGAAAGAGCAGGCACCATATGACAGCTAGAGCATTTAAACGGTACCTTGACCCACTCCTGTGGTAGCAAATCTGTCCATGGTTTGTCAATATGCCATGGAGTGATATCAGAATCGAAATAAACAGCTAGCCGTTCAAGTTCTACAGACTTAACATATCAAAAAACAAATCAATAAAAAGCGTGAAAGAAGAAAACAGAAGTACAGTTTATCAAGAAAACACAGGAAGGAATTATCACAGCATATAAAAATTTAGACAAGACACTAAAGTTGCATTAAGTACATTTGGACTTGACAGTTTCACATGTAAGTACACACTTGTGTTACTGGTGAATCTCAGTCTAAGATAGAAAACTATAACAGTTACATTGTACTTATTTTTCTCTCTATTGGGACCTACAGCAGACTTGCGTATTTCCGAACTCCAGGGAAATTATATGCAACTGGCACTACATAATATTTAGTTGATCACAGTAAGTTGGCAATAACAAGGGATTCCTTCTTACTCCAGTGCTAAAACTGATTCCTCTCCACTTTTGAAAGGAAAGCTCCTCAGTTCCCTCTGTTCATTGTAGACATGATTTCACAGAAGAGCTACAATCAGAGGCAAGAAAGTACTAGAGATACTAAAACTGTTTCAGTGAAAACCACTAGTCTTGCACGTCTATCGTTGCTAACTAATCAGCTATAATCAGAACACATCGAGGGCGAAAAGTCGCGAGAAATGTGGGGAGGTTGAATAAGGGGTTTGCTTGATTATAAATGCATAATGGAAATGTAAGGTCATTGAGTGGGGGTGGTTAAGAACTTATGTCTTTTCATTATTAACTTAAAATGCGAAAGAGAAGAGACTGACCTTCTGTATGAAATCCAATGCATTTCCAGTTACAAAGGCTTCACTCCCACTATCATCTACGGTCATAGCTGATAGTTTCTCTAAGGTAATACCAGCTGCAAAAGGGTGGCCAGCATTGCTGCATGGTGAAAGCTAGTCAGTTTCATCACAAACTCAAAGAAATCAATAGTTGAACCTCCTTACCTCTCAAGATCTTCATATCTGATGTGGATATTTGAAATTGAAAGCTTTAAGTTCCCAATTATTGTGTTGATCAAAGACCCCAACCAGGACTTATTCTTGAGGAGAAAGGCAAAAACGAAAATTGGTTAAAGTGATGATGATGGACAATATTCTATGAAACCACCATTCCCTGCTAGAAATATGATTTCCATTTGTTCCCCATTGGTGGTTATGTCATAAACTGAACCAAAGAGGATGCCTTAAAAATAGTAAAAAATTAAAAATACACAATTAAAACAGAACATACCAAGCAGACTTGGGTCACTTTCATGGTAAAACTTAATCGAACTTAGCATTTATGAGTGCCACACACAACAAGAGTCAGGAATATCTTATAATTGATGTCAAATCTCAGTTCATTTAAAGATGTGGATACTATCACTAGAATCCTTGAATTATAAGCATACCTTCTAAAGAAACTGCAGTTCAACTTCTTAATTACTTCTAGCTAAGCATGGATAATACTGAAACCAACTCACATTCTTAAGAATCTGTTCAAGTGCGTGGCCATCTCATCCAGAAACTTATGTTGTTTGAGAGACCACACATTCATTTACTTAATTATGCTATATCTAACATGTCTCTCACATGTGGGCCTGATTCTTTTTCATGAGCATGCACGTGATTCTTTTTAATAATGGGTGTGCAAACCCAGGACCTCTGGTTGTTCTGACACCATGTTGAAGCTTAAGTTGTTAGAGAAAGAACACATTTGTTTATTTAATTATATTATATCTCAACAGAAACTATAATGCCTCTTCTCCATTTCATTATCTAGATGCACAGATAATGCTAAGAACAACTAGATTACACTGCAATTACTGAAGCTAATCAACAGCATCTTATCTGTATCTCCCACTGTTCACTTTCATCAAGAGCAAGAAATAAACAAATCGCTATTTCACGAAACCCATAAGTTCACATCTGAAAGCAAGAGCCGGTGTTCACCAATCATATTAGTAAGCTGGTATCAGATAAACAGTTTACCACTGACAGATACAATCAATGAACCCATCATTTAAAGCATTCAAGTTGACACACATACGTCAAAGGTTTTATGCATTTGACAAAAGAAAAAGAAATATACCATTTCTGTCTCTAGCATTCGTTTACTCTCCAGAAGCTTTGTTTCCATTTCCTAGTTGCAAGGAAAAGAGGTTATATCAATAAACATTTCCTGTTGACATGCAAAGTATTTTACTTGAGACTCAAAACCTTACTCGTATTCTACTCTTCTTAGCTTCTTGGATAGCATCTTCGGTAGATCCTTCAACTTGGGTTGCTGGTTCAGCTAATAAAAAAATACGATCCAGGTGAACTAGAACTGGATCTTGGCCAAGCCTGCTCCATGGTACCTGTAATTATGGACTTATTACTGACATGTAAATGACAATAAATTCTAATTAACAAGTGGCCCATAAAGGGGATACCAACTGTCCCAATGTTAAATGGAAAATGAGGAGAAATTTTTTTTGATGAGAAATCATAAGACAAGGGAAAAGGAATGAAATATTTAGAGATAATAAGAATCCCTGGCAGGTGGACACACTGTAACTATATCAAACCAAGTTTGTTGGCGCTTTAAGTGCAATGAAATATATAGGGTCTCTCTTTAATGCATAAGAGTTAAATAGGTCCACAGCTTCGATAAGAAAAGGTTTAAAATGATATAATTCATTGACCTGACAATTCTTTTTCCTTGGATCCTTTTTATTTTTTTCCTTTACAAACTACGTCTCCTTTATGATTTCAGGTTTTATTTCTTTTGTCCCATTTTTTCCTGTGTCATACACAAGAGTTGGTAAAAAGTCTAAACTAAAAGGTTCTTATGTAGACAATTTACACTTGAATTGATTTGCTTGTAAAATAGGAAGTATACTTACAAAACTACGAGTGCTCATATTAGGGTTAGTTCCAAAAGTAACAACAATGTCCATAGGGATATATGTTATAGTATGAATTTGGATAATAATGCACTTTAGAACAACCAAATTAAACCATTAAATTCAAGAAAACAGGTAATAAAGGTTAAAACGAAATTACTATGCAATGATATGTCCAAAGGGTGATTTAATTCAGATTTTAGCTTGCTTTCTTGATGTCATGAGTTTATTCAGCTCAAATTTCATTTTAAGTCAAAGGGTTGAGATAATTTCAGTACTCAGTAACCAATCAATCTCCTTGTAGAAATGATACCGACTCATCATTATATTAAATTATTAATTACTGTGATGTGGGCACTTGCTTTCCAAGATCACACAACAGTGGGATAAAAATTACAACCAAAAACGATTCAAAATATTATGAGTACGCCCTCGAGCTGAAAATATTAGTCATAAGCAAAAACATCCACAGCCAAGACCAACCAAAACTCAGTTCATTTTCAGGTACTCAAAACTTCAAAACAACTCATTTAGCAGTCGGATATTAGGGGTAGAACCTTGAGTCTCACAGATCCAAGAAATCCTGCCTTGACTTTTACAGGTAACTTCAATGCATTGAGAGCCTCTGGTTTCAATTGCATATTTACTAGTTCTACATCGCCTGTCACATATACCACAATGTGTTAGTAACCAAGCAAAATTTTTAATCCACAAAAGTATATGTTTAACTGCCACGAATATGGTAAAGGAGAACACTTAAGAACTGTTTTACAAACAATGCCATCCCCAAAAAACTGCGGAGAAGACGTAAAAGCTGAGCACATCCATTGATGGATGTATATACGTTCAAGTGCACCACTGCTTTTGCTCGACCCGAAAATATGTGATTTGATTTGTTGTTATACAAAAACAAATCGAACAAAACCAAGTAACTATTTATAAATCATCATACTTGTACATAAACAATGTCTAGAATTATTATCCAAAAAAAGAATCACTAATCTGACTTGATATCATTCATCTCAATAGAAAGTAGGAGCTGAAGTAGCCCTTTGGGCATGGATCTTGTGGTGAACTTTCATTGGACATGCGGCTTCTTTGGGACTTGATAAATCATTCATATGACTTAACAATATGCTTACGTGCTTGGCAAATTTGAAATTTACTGTTTGTTTTTTTTGTTTTCTTCCCTGTCCTGGATTCGTGTCCTCTTTAGTGCCAACTGTCATTTGATTTGTCTTCACATAATCTTAAGCAACTTATTGAATTAGCTACGCTAATCCTTACCTTGATTTTACGTTCCAATACTTCTCCCTCCTGTGTCTTTCAATTTTGTCATACTGTAATCACTGTTTAACTTGAGATACTGTAAATGTTTGGGAATGTGAATCGCTGTGTTTCTTCTCCACATCAATCATTCTAAAAGTTGATTCTGCTCCCATCTCCTTACCTGAATATTACGCCACCAATAATCTTTATTCTTTCATAATACTCTTTTAATGTGTGCATACAAATGCAAGTATGATGTCTATAGTCCTCCATTCCCCTTCCACAATTTTCCATACCTCTCCACTATCATCTTCAACCAAAGAGTATGCTTGTCCATTCCAAATCTCCATAACCATTAGCCTAGTAGGACCCTGTTGAATACTCAGAGACCTTGCGCCCCAACACCTCCAATTTCTAACGCCATGCCAGCTGATTAAATGAAGTTTCTTAACCCCATATTGCTGAATCCCATAGCAAGTTCCCCCTCCCTCCATTGAGTGTCTGCTCATCCAAAATCTCTATAACCATTTTCTTAGTAGGGCCTTGTTGAAAACTCGAAGACCTTTCACCCAAAGATCCCTCATCTATTTAGAGATGTAACATCCTCCCAGTTGATTAACTAGAGTTTCCTAGCCCCATTTGTTGAATTCATTTAGAGCCTTCCCAATTTACTTGTGACACCGACCAGTGCCAAAAACAATGATATCAAGTACATAGAGATGCTTGATATGTATCTTGGTCCTTGTTGAACCCCGGTTGCTCGAACACGGTGCAGGTATCCGACACCGATGTTGATCTAAAGGTCAGACTTGTCATCATATAATGACTTATTATTACCCTGACGACCACTTAAATTGTATGTTGGATGAACTAGAAGCATCTATTACTTTTTTATGGGGTTTCATTGGGAATTTTTGCAGGTTTCTCTTTCTTAAATCATGTTATCTTGATTCTATGCAAATTCACATCCCTTAGTTATGTTTATATGATAAACCATTAACTTAATAGAGGGAAAATAGTCCACATGAACTGTATAGCTCTTGTGGAAAAGATAAACTTTACCACTTGGCAACATGACTGTTTCATCATCCACTTCCATATAATGGACTAATCTAGATGCCTACTCTAGCCTGTTCAATTTCAAAATTACTTCACTTCACTCACTTGCCAACAGTCCTGAACCTTCTATGCCTAAGATCTTCCATAAAATGATCCTTCGAAACCATAGTGATACAAAGTTCCTAACAGAACCACTATAAATAGCAGTCATCCACACTCTCAATGGATTAATCGCCTCAAGTCTCTAATTCCATCAGGCAAAAAAGCTCAATCCCAAAAGACATTTTAAAGATTCAATAAACCTATGCTGTAAATGCAGGACAACAAAGCAGTTCTAATCCAATCTACACCATTTAAACGCATATATTTCACAAATTCATCACACAAATAACATAAAAGCTCATCAAAATCATCATTTCATAACATTTCCAAATTCAATTGAGGAGATTCAATAACAAACCTTGCCAAACGCTGATCTTAAGTGCTTCTTTATTGAGTCCTATAACATAGTTCCCCAAATACCTCTGCAACAAATACGCTACTTGATCTTCCAACATCTTTCCGACTTTCTACTAATCACCTTCTAACACTGAGATTGTGAATCTCTACAAGTTTCTATATATACAGTGAACGAACCGATTGAAGTATTCCTCTAGTTTCCTCATAGCGATGAAGAACGAAGAAAGAGAGAAGTGGAACCTGGAAGAGTCTCGCACGTATTTTTTCCTTCTTTTTTTTTCTAATTAATTTATTGTTTTTTCAGTTCTTCAAAGCTAACGCAAAGTGACGATGAGGAGGTTTTCGAGATTTTTCTTTTAATTTATTTAATTTAATACTCCATTTATAATTTATAAGATAATAATATTTACACGTGGAGCAACAAATATCTTGCCGACTGATTTTTTAAGCTAAAGATCAACCAAGGGCTAATCACGTGGTACTCACGTGTTAGCATTAATTATTTTTTTGTTTAGAAATTTCAATTTGGTCATTAATTAAGTTAGATCTCATCCCTTGACTTTGAAATCGATATTAACATTGTTTAATCTTTAAAAAAAAAGTTTAAGGCAAATCAATTTTTCTAAGACAAGTATGTTCATGACATCGAGTGGAGTAGGAAATGAGATCTAATCATGATTTAAAGAAAAAGTGACTTTCTCAGATATCAAGATAGGTGTTCTTAAGAAAAAGACTACTATTATGATTTATGAAAGTTTAAATATAATGCGACTTACGGATGTTATGGGAAAGAAGAATAAACTATCTAGCTTATCTGGGCATTTATAAGTGCAAGAAAAAATTAGTTTTTTTATATAGTAAGGCTCATAAAGTTTGGAAAATGGTGAATGATTGATATTGTAAGAGTTCGGAACTTAAAATGCCACAAATCGAAGTAAATTTTTTTAATAGCCACAAAATTTGAAACAAACGAAAATGGACATATCGCTTACGATTTGAACCGTCTTTAACAGCCCACCCCAACCAACATTTTGGTGTGTGGGCTAGTTAGTTTTTTTTTTGTAAGTTGTTCAACTTCACAATGTCACATGTATATATTGTCGATCATTTAACTTTGAACGAGTCCGTATATATGTATACAATATTTTTTGAAAAAACTACCTAATTATACAAATATTCCTACCATAAATATGAAAATTCTCTATAGTTTGAAATAATTAAATAGTATCTTACTATTTTGTATCAGATTTCAAGTCAGATACTGCACCATTCCTTCAAATTTCAAGTCAGCACATGTATCTTTGATACGAAATACATTATGAAATACATATATATACATAGGGAGAGAGACGAGTGATAAGGGAGAGAAGCTAGCAAGAGAATCAATGTATCTTATATACATGTAAATCACGCCGGAATACAATATATATGGAATAATAACACCTAATTTAGCCCGCATGTATTCAAGAAATATGTATATGAGTGCATCGTATACATGTATCGATAAGTCATATAGACGAAGGTAGACAAGCCAAAGATAATAAGGTACTAGCTAGCCGACAAGGCTACAATGAAGATATACACACATACATACATATCTATACATGCCAAGCCTATGTGGCTGGAAACTGGAAGCTGCAGAAAGAAACCCAGAATATTGTGTCCACA